TGTGTCTCCACCTGGGGTGTGTGTGTGTGTATGTGTGTGTGTGTCCATCTGGGGGGTATGTGTCCACCTGGGGTGTGTGTGTGTGTATGTGTGTGTGTCTCCACCTGGGGTGTGCGTGTGTGTATGTGTGTGTGTGTCCATCTGGGGGGTATGTGTCCACCTGGGGTGTGCGTGTGTCTCCACCTGGGGGGTGTGTGTGTCCACATGGGGTGTGTGTGTCTCCACCTGAGGTGTGTGTGTGTGTCCACCTGGGGCCTCCTCCCATGCAGGGGGCCCTCCCTGTCCCTTCCTGCGGTCATACTCCCTGCCCCCTGAGACACCACTCCTCTTCTGCACCCTGGACATAGGCCCTATGGCAGGTGGTTTTGGTGTCCCTGTACCTTGGGCAAGTTATTTAGTGTCCTTTGTTTCGTCTTCTGTAAAATGAGCATAACAGCCCCTTCTTTATGGGGCAGTCGTGAAGATTACATTACTTAACACTTTAAAGTTTGGAGGAGTCCTAGCACGTGTGATGATAGCATTGAGTACGTGCTGTCTTTAGGTGACTGTGAATCTGTTCTTCTTCAACACGTTCTGTCTGTGCCGTGGGTCAGCCCTTGGCATCTCCCACTGGGCTCGTGGCTGTGCCATCTGTATTCGAGTGTTGGGGATGGTCAGGTGGGAAAAAGGATTTGGGTCCCTAATGCGTAGTGAGAAAGACAGGAGCAAGCAGATAACCGCACAGTGGATGAAAGCTCATCCCCACCCTTGTTTGGAGAGAGAGACTGAGCGTAGGGAAGATCTGCCCAACTCCAGGAGGTCAGGGAAGGCATCCCAAATGAGGTGATGACTTGGCTGAGGTCTGAACAGAGAGGGCGCCGCAGTCAAAGGAAGCTGCACGTGCGAGTCCCTGTGCAGGTGATACGGAGGAAGGGCTGGAAGGAGCCCCGGTGGCTGGAGTGAGGGCATTCCCCAGGGCCACCGCCTAGGCCTTGTTTGTAATAGCAGTGGGGATTTTTGGAAAGTTTTGGGGAGAGGGCAGGGACATAATCCTATTTCCAAGTTGAACATCTCTGTCTTTGCAGTGAGCACTGTGGATTGGATAGCTGTTAGCTGAGGGCTCCAGAATGATCCAAGTGAGTGGTGGGCTGTCCTGGGGGTGGAGTTCGAAAGGAGAGATTTTGAGGGGTGTTCATGAGCCCACACATAAGTGGGCTCCATTGTGGTGGAGGGGAGGAGGGAAGGCCGACTCCCGGGTCTCCCGCTCTGCCACTGGGCAAGTGGCAGGCACGTGCTGTCGAAGAGCTGGTCCAGGCACAGGTCAGTAGTGTGGGGCAGGCTGTGCTGAACTGGAGCTGCCTTGCGGACAGGAGGAGAGGACGAGGAGGCAGCTGGCTCTGAGAAGGTTCACTCTTCAGAGCCACTGAAAGTGGGAGGTCGAAAACTGTTTGTGGGAGGGGACGTCCTCCTGGCCCTGGGCTTCTGCTGACCTCTCTGAAGATGGACAGAGAGGACACAGAGTCCTCAGAGAAGTCCAGACACCAGGGCTCCTTTGGACCTGGGTTCAAATCCTGCCTCTATAGTTCTGTGACCTTGAGCAAGTCACTAACCTCCAAGCGTAACTGCCTTACTGCTTATCTGCTGCTTACCTGGTTTGCCTGGAGGATGGTGATAGCTGTTAAGTGAGTCAGTGGGTCTCACTAAACGGTGGCTGTCACTGGGTCATTAATTGCATAAGAATTCAGAAGCAGACATTTTTCCTGGACTAGAGGGGCACACTCCAGCCAGGATGCAGACGCTGCGCTAGAGGGGCACACTCCAGCCAGGACGCCCCTGTTTGCCCTCCAGGATCCCTGTTTAGAGTGGGTGGTCACTGGCCTGCTTCATGGGCCTCCCTGCCTCTTTCTGTCCTCAGGCAGGTGGCCTAGGATCCTTCCTGGTGTAAGAGAAAGGAGGAGTTGTCTGAGTGCGTTACCTGCTCTGCCCTGGCTCCTCTGTGGGGTCAGAGCAAATGGGCATCACCAGAAGCATCTATGGAGCGTCTTCTGTGTACCCGCTGCAGCTCTGCTTACTAAAATATCTGTAAGCCCCAGTCTTCATAGCCCAATAGAATAAACAGCGAAAGCAGAAAGTTTAGCTGACAAGGATGTCTAAAGAAAAGAATGTTCTGATTAACTCAACTTCATTTTCAACTGGGAGCTTTCCTAACATCACTTAACTCTTCTTGTTGAAAATAAAGTATGCCAAGTGTTGGGCCGCATGAGCATCTCAACTGCGGCCACTCTAGAGTGGCCAGGCCACCTCCCCATCCATCATCCTATTGGGTCACAGCAGCCCCAGAGCTGGCAGGGGGCTTGTTTTATGCTGGTGTCATTGATGACGACCCCGAGCCTGTGACAGGTAAAACAATTTGCCCCAAGCCATGCAGCTGACTTATGGCCCCAGCGCAGGGTAGCCAGTGTTCAGCCCCCACTTCACCCCACTGCAGGTCACTGTTCCAGTCCAGGTCTCCGTCCCTCTGCCCAGAGTCCCTTCGTCCCAGGCTGCTGGCTGTCTACTCCGCTCTGTGGCCTAAGACTCCCCTCATCCCATGGAAGAGGCGGTGAGGAGAGAAAACCCTGGAAGCCCCTTTCAGCCCAGCGGTCCTGGATGTCCTCTGTCCCCTCCATGCCTTGGAGAGGTGGTTCTCCTGGTGGCCTGGCCGGAAAGAGCCTCCCCAGGGATCCCTAGGTCTCCGCAGGGTTGTAGCCAAGTGTGGGGCTGGGCCGGGCATGGTTGACCCCGGGGCCCAGCGTGGATCCCAGGGCGTTCGGCTTGTTCTGTAGGTGGGTGTGGGCTCTGCCTTCACGCAGTCTTCTTGGGGACTGGAGAGTATGGAGTGGGGTTGCTCAGAGGCTCATAGGCCCTCACCCCCTGCCCTTGGTGCTCCTGCAACTGTGGAGACAAGGAACTACCACGTGCATGTTTCAGAGTGGCCCTAAAGTCAGTGGTCAAAGCCGTCAGAAAAGCTTCGGGAGTACCAAGAGGCTATCTGGACTGTGAGCAGGAGGCCCACGGAGCCAGACCGTGCAGTCAGGGCAGCCTGCCTGGAGGAGGGGGCAACCAGGCGGGGTCTCAGCCGGTCTGAGCAGGCAGAAGGGAGGAAAGCAATTATCATAAGCCTAGGAACAGCCAAGCACTGACGTGGGTGTGCTTGAGCAACCCCCAGCATCATTTACGGGCAACACTACGAGCCCACGGGGAGCCCGGAGGCCTGGAAAGGATGGGTGGGCCGTGGCCAGCGGGACATGAGAAGAGGCTGCTCCATGCAGGTGTCCAGAAAGTCAAGGACAGGCCCAAGCATTTACTGCGCCCTGCCGTGGGCCAGGTGCTCCTCACGCATCGCCTAATTTACAGCTCACGCCAGCCCTGGTGCTCAGCACTATTAGAGCCCTTTAAAAGGAGGAGACTGGCTCTGGGAGGGTCTGGACAGGGCGGGAAGCTTGGCTTATGGAGAGTCATCCTCAAGCTGGTTCTTGAGTGAGGAGGCCACAGTGATGGTGGGGCTAGCAACATGCTCATCCCTGTCCCCTGGGCAAGGTTCTCTCTGTCCAGGAAGTGTCAGCCTAACAGAGCCCCCAACCCCCCACCCCCACCTCCTTGTCTGCTCTCTGTTGCAGCCCAGCCTTCACCTTCCCCCATCCCATCTACCCCATGGCCTGCCAGCAGATTCTGAGCCAGCAGAGGGGTCTGGAGTCAGCCTTTGGGCAGTGTTGTCAGACCATTTCTAGGCCACCGTTTGTGCAGGGCAGAGACCTAGAATCCTGATGGGGGCACCGTGAGGGGGAGCAGTCTAGAACCACAGTGGAAGAGCCTGTGGCCCTGGGGTGCAGGGTACTCTTGTCTGGGGCAAGCCCTCTTCCCTTCCGCAGTTATGTAGGTGTGTGACAGCAGCTGGTGAGGGCTGAGGACATAGCCATGCGTCCACACGTATGTGTGCATATGCATGTGTACACATGTCTGCATGTGGGTGCACACAGGTGTGTGCGTGCAAGGGCGGTGTGTGCACCCGCGTGCATGTGTGCCTGCATGCATGTGGTGTGCACGTTCAAAGCAACAGCTTCCCAGAGCCTCAGGCAACTTTAGAACTGAGGACCTCAGTGTGCAAGAACACCTGCCTGTGTCAGGATGCCTCTCTCTGCGCTGTCCTCGTGTCTGTCCTGCCCTGTTACAGCAGGCTGCCCAGCAGGCTCTGGAGAGAGCCAAAGGCCCAGGTGTCGAGAAGAGTCTGGGGGCCGCCATCCAGGCCTCTGCTTGGCAAATGCCCTATCAGGGGGCATTTTAGTAGTGATTTCAGGTACAATATGACCCATGACCTTGGAGCACATACTTCCATTCACTGTCTTCCCCATGGAATTCTCCACAGCAGTGAGAACAGGCGAGCTTCTGCCACACACAATGGCATGGAGAAATCTTACAAACTGACCAAGTGGATGAAGGAGGCTAGACATAAAAGAGTATTTAAAATTCCATTTACACAAAGCTCAAAAGTAGTTAACACTAAGCTGTGTGTTAGAAGCCAGGATAGCAGCTGCCCTTGGGCTGGAAGGTGCAGGGGGCTTGTGGGCACTGGCCAAGCCCTGTTTCTTGACCTGGGGCTGGCTTCCCAGGTGGACTCACTTGGTGAGAGGCCACTGAACTGTTCACTTACGATTCGTGCACACTCCTGTCATGAGGTAAGCATTGGCAGATTCTAGCCCTGGTCTCTGCACCTATGCTCATTGCTCATATTCACTCGCCCAGACACCTTACATGCACTTCTGCAGTCCTCACCACACCCTGTGCTGCTCAGTCCATTTTACAGATCAGCAAACTGAGGCCGAGAGGTGACATCCTTTGCCCAAGAGCGCACAGCTGGAAAGTCAGCTTAGCTGGGATACCCATCAGACCATCCTCGCAGGCTCTTCCTGTCCCCCACCTACCTGTCACCCCGCCCCCCATCCCCAGTGATGCTGACGTGTCTTGTGTTGACTGTCCCACAGTGTCCCGTTTCTCCAGCCCGCGGGTGACACCCCGCCTGAGCCGCAAGCGGGCGCTGTCCATCTCCCCACTCTCAGACGCCAGCCTGGACCTGCAGCGGATGATCCGCACCTCACCCAATTCGCTGGTGGCCTACATCAACAACTCCCGAAGCAGCTCGGCGGCCAGCGGCTCCTACGGGCACCTGTCGGCAGGCGCCCTCAGGTGAGTCCCGCCTGCAAGCAGAGGGCTGAGAACCGGAGCTGGGCTGAGGGCCCCGTGGGGAGGCGCTGGCTTTTCAGTGGGTGCTTTTGACCCCAGGAGAAAGACGGGACTAGTGGCATTTGTGAATCCACATACTCGCACCTTTTTTATGAATTCAAAACCAATAGTGATCAAATTGAAATGAGCCAATATCTGAGTACATCCTCATGGACCAGGCCTGTCATGAATGACTCAAATGTGAAATCAAAGGTGTTTGAGGTCGAAGATGGTTTTCCTAGTATTTCACTGAATTTGGTGGAGCAGCCAAGTATTGGCCAACCTTGGAGACCACACAAAATGTGATGTTGGCATGGCCCGGGCTCTCAGGAAGCCTCTGAGCTGCCAGCAGCTCTCCTCCCTCTGTAGCCGCATCGTGGCACACCCACACCTCACTGACACCAGCCACCCTTCTCCCCTCTGTGTGGCTCTAGACTGTCTGAGGACTGAGACCCCAGCCGGCTTGACTGAAACTCACATGCCTCCCCAGAGCCTCCGGGCGAGGCCAAGAGGTGTGAGGAATGTCAGGAGAGTTTGTCCCAGCGACCTGGAGACGGAAGGAATAACAAGTGTATTTGTTATCTTTTCTTTTCTTTTCTTTTTTTTTTTTGAGACGGAGTCTCGCTCTGTCGCCCAGGCTGGAGTGCAGTGGCCGAATCTCTGCTCACTGCAAGCTCTGCCTGCCGGGTTTACGCCATTCTTCTGCCTCAGCCTCCCGAGTAGCTGGGACTACAGGCACCGCCACCACGCCCGGCTAATTTTTTTGTATTTTTTAGTAGAGACGGTGGGGGGGTGTTAGCCAGGATGGTCTCGATCTTCTGACCTCGTGATCCACCCGTCTCGGCCTGCCAAAGTGCTGGGATTACAGGCTTGAGCCACCGCGCCCAGCCTGTTATCTTTTGCTGCCTAACGAATTGCTCCAACACGTAGCAGTTTAAAACTACAAACGACTGTTATCTCACCCCATTTCTGAGGGTCAGGAATTTGAGACAGGCTGAGCTCAGGCTCTCTCAGGTGGCCACAGTCGGTGTCAGCCAGTGCTTCATCCCGTTGAAGGCTTGGCTGGGCCAGAATGGCCCCCGCACAGGGCTCTCAGCAGTACCCTTTGTTCCTCCTCTGTGAGCCTCTGCTTAGCGCTGCTTGAGTGTCCTCACAACGTGGCGGACGGGTCCCAGCCCACCTTGCAGCATGTGATGCGAGAGGAAGCTGGAGGAAGCTACGGTGTCTTTTATGGCTCAACCACAGGGGTCGCCAGTCTCTCCTCGGTATCCTGCAGTGTGAAGGGTGGCTCTTACGCACGTGGTGTGACAGAGCCTAGAAGTGCAGTAAGAAGAGGAGAATAATGAAGCTGGAGGGCTCAGGGCATGATTCCCGGATGAGGGGCCATTAGAACAGGATTCAGAGGCCTCATGGGTTTCACGTAGTCAGGGAGCAGTGATGCCGGCATGCATTTAGGTATCATTACAGCAGTGGAGGGGCTGGGGTGTGGGGATGAGATGGAGCCTGGTCCCTGCTGGGGCCAGCCTGCCAAGGGTGAAGGCTGCATCCTGAGGCAGAACCCGGGAGCTGATCACAAAAGGTGAGTGGCAGACAGTAGGAAGCCACAGCTGGTTCCTGAGTGAGGAGGCCACAGTGATGGTGGGGCTAGCAATGTGCTCATCCCTGTCCCCTGGGCAAGGTTCTCTCTGTCCAGGAAGTATCAGCCTCACAGAGCCCCCAACCCCGACCCCCACCTCCTTGTCTGCTCTCCATTGCAGCCCAGCCTTCACCTTCCCCCACCCCATCAACCCCGTGGCCTACCAGCAGATTCTGAGCCAGCAGAGGGGTCTGGGGTCAGCCTTTGGACACACACCACCCCTGATCCAGCCCTCACCCACCTTCCTGGCCCAGCAGCCCATGGCCCTCACCTCCGTCAATGCCACGCCCACCCAGCTCAGCAGCAGCAGCAACTGTCTGAGTGACGCCAACCAGGTAGGTGGGTGCAGGGGCCAGGATGGCCACTGGGTACTCATCTGGACGCATGAGGGCTGTTCACTGCCAGTTCGTGCTAAGAACTTGTGGAGGGCCTCTGGGCTCACGTCTGGCCTCTGGGGTGCCTTCTGGGCAGAGGCCACGTTATGGAAAGTGCGAGACCTGGGCTTAGTCCATGGAAGCTCCCAGCTTCTTGATTCTGCTGTCTCCTGTCCAAGAAGCATAATGAGTAGATGGGGAAAGCCTCGAGTTCCCAGGGCCTGGCATCGTGGAGGTCCTCCGTGCCCAGCACATGGCATGGGTGGGTGAGTGAATCATTATAACACTGCAGTTTCACTGTAGAGCGTGCATTTACAGCAGGCTTCACACACTGCCTCATTCGACCCTTCCAACAGGCCTTGAGCATGCCTGGACATCCTAGTACGGTGCCTGGCACGTCCTAGGTACCATTATTATTTGGCAAATGAAGTGTGCTTTCACAGATAATGACATAGAAAGGCACAGGCCTTAGCATCAGTCAGACCATCTTTGGGATCCTAACTCACCTAAAAGCAGCAAATCTCTTTCCCTCTCGCAGCCTGAGCCGACTTATCTGCTAAGTGGGGTTCCTGACGCCTAGGTGGGGTCACTGTGTATGTAAACGAGCTCGTGGGTGCAGAGCCCGCATAGGCTCTGATCCTGGGAGCACTGACAACGATGATGCCAGAGGTGAAGGGACCACCCCAGGCCACCCACTGGCAAATGGCAGAGCGTGGATGTGGCTACACCTTTGGAAGGAAGGCAGGACACCATGTCCTCTAGAAGAGTCTCTGTTCCAGAATGTCCTCCCTCTCCACCCCAGGGCTCCTGGTGGGTCCCCAGAGCCTCCCCATGACAGTGGCTGTCAGCTCTAGAAATAACATCACCTGATGCTTCAGCTCTAACCCCTTCTCCTGAGGAACCAGGCTCTGGCCCGCTGTGTCCTGGGCTGGCCAGGCCCTGTTCTCAGACCCACAGTGAGAAGTTGAGCCTGGTCAGAACAGGGGCAAGGGCACCCCGCATTTTCCAAAGAGAAGGTCTCTTTCCCATTTCCCAGAAGTCTTGGGGAGGCAGAGATGGAGAGATGGGGGTTGGCATGCCCAGGTCTGGGTGCCCTCCTGTAGCAGGACATGTGTCCCTGGCAGGAGGACTGAGCTGGGGACTCTCTTTCTGATACTTAAACACAGGGTTAGCCCAGATGGTCTGTGCGGAGAGATCCTAGAGGTAAAGTCCAAAGGAATTTGGGATATCCCTGCCCTGCCCCTGAGTAACAGTCTGTCCTCTGCACCCTTCCTCAGAACAAGCAGAGCAGTGAGTCGGCCGTCAGCAGCACCGTCAACCCTGTCACCATTCACAAGCGCAGCAAGGTCAAGACCGAGCCTGAGGGCCTGCGACCGGCCTCCCCTCTGGCGCTGACGCAGGTAAGCTGCTGCCAGCTGCACCACCTTCCTCCAGCTAGGACCAGGCCTGTGGGCTGCCTTGGGGCTGTACGCTTGGTGGTGAACGGATGGCTGGCTGGCCGCATGGATGAATGAGTGACCCAGGGAGGACTGGGAGGGAATGCTGAGCTGTGACTCTCTCACCACTGTGTTCCCAGCACCCTGGACATACACTCCCATCACACATGGTGAATGAATGCATGAGCGAATGAATGGGCTTCTGCCTAACCATCCCTCTTGTCTCAAGCTGCATCTGTCTCTCTCCCCACACCTGACCTGTGCACAGCACCAGCCACAGCCTGGCTGAGTTACTCACATCTCCGGAATGGCTCAGGCCCCTCTAGGCTACTCTCTCTTGGAACTCTACCCCACCCTGGCTCCTTCGCTGCCACTTCAGCCCTCCCTGATTCTCCTGGGTAAGAGGACTTAGCTCCAGGCCCACACACCCAGCCTAGCTCAGAGGTCACTTCAGGGCATGTGCTGTGTGCACAGCTGTCTCCCCATCTGCACTCTAAGCTTTGGAGAGGTGACACTGTGGGAGAAGGGCCTGACTGGGTTCCGTGCCACCAGGGTTTGCGCAAGTGTGCAGTCACTGACATAGTATTTTCCAGTGATTCAATGCACATTTGAGTCAGTGAGTGGCATGGTGAGTGGGGAAGGTAGGACAAGTTCAAGTGGGGAGAGAAGAGCGGGGCAGCCCACAGTCCAGTGCAGGCCTGTCGTGTGGCCCCGACCCTGCGCTGATCCTTTTGGAAACCTTGCCACTTATTCTTCTGCTCCAAGACAGCGTGCAGGCGGCCCCCACTCCCGGACAGGGGCCTGTCTTGTAAAGGGCATGCCGTGCCTGTTGAGCTGGTAAGTAAGCGCCTGGTCCCCCAGGCCCTCTCACGGTGGCCCAGTCTTCATCCATTACTACAGAAGCCGCGGCTTGGACACCAAGGATGCTCAGGGCCTCCTATCCCCGTCTCTCCTGCATCTGCCGACTATCCTTTATCAAAACTGTGAACCATCAGGCATGCTCTGGGCACTTAATTTTCATGAAATATTGGCTCCTGTTATTGTCAGGCAAACAGAGGGGTTGGTGACAAATTCTTCTCCCCTTGCTGACACCCAAGCCGGTCTCAGCATGATGCATGGTTTCCATGAGGCCGAGCATCATCGGGGGCCGATGAAATTGATGAGGACGGCACATATCCAGGGAAGACAAACACGCCAGAATGGTGAGGACAGGGCCGGCAGGCAGGCACTGAGCACCTGGGAGCCCCATGGCCACACGCCAGTAGGGCCCTATGCCCGCCCTCCAACCCAGGTGGGCCACACAGGGCCTCCTGCCTGTCCAGCCTGGCTCTGCACACGTGTCAGTGCAAGGAAAGCTGTTTATCATGAGGAGGTTGTCCCTTGTCACTCAGTGTCCTGATTCACTGACCAAGGACTCCCTGACTCATTTGTAAGGTGGATGGCTGGGCTTTCTCTCTATTGGCAGAAAATGCAGCCTAATGAACCCTCTCTACTGAAGCCCTCAAAACTGCAGGCTAGAGTGATGCCCAGTGCAACCCTGAGGCCCCACCTGCCTCTGTGCTACCCTCTGATTGGAGTGTGATCTGTCAGCTTTCCAAATCTTCTCTGGAGTGACCAGGGCACGCAGCCGGTAGAAATAATAAATTGACTTCCAGGTTTTCTCAAAGAGTGGAGAGGGTGATAGGAGGCACTCCGGTCCACTCTCCCCATGGTCTCACCCCGACAGCCCCCAGACAATCCCGTTGCTAAAGATCTGGAAAGTAAATGCTCCCACACCTTCCTTTGATTTGGTCCCAGTATAGCCCCTGGAGCTATTGCACATGTTGTTGCTTTTCCTGTTCGGAACAAGTGGATTCATTGAAAGATCCTCTGAGGAACAACCAGGAGCCCTTCTTGAAGAGGTCTTTGTGGCTCTTATGGAAAGTCAGGTGGGGTTTGAGTCTCCACTGACAACACGGCGTCCTGAGGCTAATTTCTGCCACTCCCAGAAAGGAACTCAGCACTAGGACTGAGATCGTGACCTGGGCAGCTGTGGCACCACCCACTGAGTCCCTGGAGCCAGTGGGCATTAGGCCTTTTGACTATGGGGCGAGATCCTTCATCCTGCTGAGCCTGACTATACATGTTTTCCCCAGAGGCTATTTTGAAAGACCACATTTTCCTGCTGTTTTTGGAGAGAGTTTGAAATGTGAAGCCAGTCTTGGTAGCATCTGCCTCTTTGCTTGGCTTTGCTCCCAGCCTGCCTAGCAGAACAGTGGAATACTGGGGAGTCCTTGGCAGCCCTTGTAGGCCCTCTGCGGACTTTCCGTCACTACTTGGGGTATCTGAGCCTCTCCCTGTGCCCCGATCCCAGGCAGGTACCTCCTGCCTGTCCTCATGTCCTCTGCTCAGAGGGTGCCCCTGGTTAGCATCAGTGAGGGAAGGGATGGTCTTGTGGGTTAATTCTCAGTCTGTTGCCAGTTTGAGAGAAAAACACTTTGTCCTTTTTGACGGAAATTTCAGGTACCTGTGATCAGGTGAGGGAATTTCAGGTATTATGATCAGGTGAAAGAATGTCTCAGGGGACTTTCCTTCACCTCATTAAAATGGCCACATGGGCCCTAATGTGGTCAAGAAACTCAAGTCCAGACCTAGGCTGCCTCGAACTCACTGTGTATTCATGAGGAGGGCCTCAGATCCTCCCTATCGTACAAGAATGCAGATGCCCACGCGTTAGGGCTGTGGCAGGGAAAACTGGTTCCCCACAGCGGAAATCAAACCGAATAGACAAAAGTCCCTGCCCCGCCTTTCTCCGGTTCTCCTGGCTTGGAGGAGACCCAGGGTGTGACAGAACACCTTGATGATGACAAGTGGGCACTGGAGAGAAAGGAGGAGGGGCCCCAGGACAGGCCATCTGACAAGGAGAGCTGTGGATGGGGCTGAGTTGAGGAAAGGAGCTAAAAAAGCTGATGAGTGTGTGTGTGTGTGCGCGCGCGCACGTGGTGTGTGTGTGCACACATACTTGCATCCACACCTGTAACAGCCCAGGGTCCCAGGGTCCTTGCATGGGACTAACAGCGACCTCTTTCAGGGCCAGGTGTCTGGACACGGCTCATGCGGGTATGCCCTTCCCCTCCCCCAGGAGCAGCTCGCTGACCTCAAGGAAGATCTGGACAGAGATGACTGTAAGCAGGAGGCTGAGGTGGTCATCTATGAGACCAACTGCCACTGGGAAGACTGCACCAAGGAGTACGACACCCAGGAGCAGCTGGTGCACGTAAGCGTTTGAACCCCAGCAGCCAGCCAACCAGGGCACGGCCCAGGCCATGCAGGATGCTGAGCCTTCCAGGGCCTCTACTAGACAGAAGGGGCTAGAGGAAGAGACCCCCAGAGATGCCTGGGCCACATCCCCTGCAAGTGGGAGGCATGATTACTTATGTGTGCCCTGCCTGTTTTCAAGATGGTTTCCAACGCATATGTAATACAAGAGAGATTAAAAGAAAAAATAAGTAAATGAGACTGTCAGGGAAAAGAGAACAATAAAGTGAAACAAGGAATAGAGTTAGTATTAAAAACCAAGTGCTTTGAGCTATATTCTACATACACTTTTTTTTTCTGAGATTCCTAGTAGCCAGTGCAAAGAGGGAAATACGATTAAACCAGCCAGTATCTACACGATAATAAGTGAAAGAAGCTTCTCCCATGAAGGAAGGAGTTGATTCTGTCCTTTAGGGACTCTTCACAGATACCCAGTGGATATGGGTGCAGGTGGGCGTCTACACCCAGATCAGAGAGGAGGCTGCTTAACAGTGCCTGAGTAGTGACAGCTCAGGTGATTAGAGAGGACCATGGGAACCGGTGAGCCCTTCAGGTTCACCTCTTGGTCCTCACTCCAAACTCTCATACTGCAGCATCCCTTATGTGGCAGACAGGGTTGATGTGTGCCGTGTGCAGAGCAGAGGCTTGGCACGGGAAACAACTGGCTCCAAACCTGTCCCCACCACAACCAGCTGAGTGCTTCTGAGCCAAGTGACTCCACCTCTGCAAGCCTCATTTTTTTTCCTATCAAGGGGATTGATGCTGCCCCACAGGAGGGTCAGTCATATTCATCAGCACCTAGTGGCTCACAGGCATTCCACACCTAGCAGCTCCCTCCTTCCTCCTCCTGCCTGTTCCCCACACCAGCCCTGAGTGGTTCTCTCTTCTCCATCCACAGAAGAACTTAAATTCAAGAAAGCCCCCTCCCAACTCCCCAGCACACACTCCTTGGTGAGTGAGTGTCTGTAAAGATGAACCCACTAAATTAGTAGCTCGATTGCTGGGAAGAGCAGACACACACGCACGTGCACACACATGCACATGTCTCCTATTCATATTCAGAAGCTGTCCCAAAGGCACTTGCTTCTCCCCAGCTCTGTGAACTTAGCATTTAGGACACGCCGACTCCCTCTTCTTCTTCCACTTATGCAACTTCCTCCCAAATACTGTAGGTTTCTTTTGTGTTGGAGTTTTTCCTCCCAAATGCAGTTCTCACCCAGAAGACCAGAACTTCCCAGCAAACGAATGCAGCTGACATAGAACTGGTGAAGCAGGGTCTTATCTAACCCCTTCTGGATCTCAAACTTAATTTTTCAACTTGTACCACCTCTTTGGGGGTACACAAGCCCTAGATGGAGCAAGGACCGTGGAGCTGTGAGTTGCAGAACAAATCAGTTAGATGAAAGGAGGAGAGAGGGACAGCCTCTCAGGCCAGGGGAAGGCCAAAGCCAGAGCATGCAGATGAGGATGTCAAAGACGTGCTCTGTGATAAGTGGGTCAGCCCCGAAGAGCAGACACAGAATTCCTCAAATGAACGCCGAGGGTCCCCAACCTGGAAGGAGGGCTTTAGCCAGGGGCTTCCGCCTGTGCCCTGGACTGTCCTGCAGCTATAGGTGGCCACCTCCACCAGGCCCTGGAAAAAACAGACCCCTTCACCCAGCTCTGTCTGTCTCTCTCTCTCTCTGCTCTCTGGAAAGATGGATGGAGCAGGCGCACAGGCGAGCTGCAGCCCCTGGTCGATTATTAACAATTTGTTGCTAAGTAAACCAATAAGAAAAAACTGAAAGGCATTGTCAGAAAGCATTTTTATCATTTGAAAGGCTTTAAAAATGGAAGGTGAGGCTAATAGGATAAGATTTCCCTGGAAGTTCAAAGTGCTGAAGATTTCACATGCTCCAGCAGGGGCATCTGTATGCCTGACACTTGGGCCAGTCGCACCGGGCATGAGGGCCTGGCAGTTTTCTGTCTTCTGGGGCAAGGTGCTGCCAGTGTCTGATGCCCAGCTCTCAGGACAGCCTTTTCTGGTGGCAAAGGTCCACAGCAGAATGTCCAGCAGAACAATACAGCAGGCCACAAATGCCAGCCACCCATGTAATTTACATTTCCTAGGAGTGCATTTAAAAGGAGTAAAAAGAAATAGGTGAAGTTAATTTTAATATTTTTATTTAACCCGATATGTCTGAAATATTATCATTTAGCAGGTAGTCAATAGAAAACAAAATTATCTAAATATTGTATAATCTTTTTTTTTCCATTCTAAGTCTTTGAAACTGGTGTGTAGTTTGCACTTCTAGCCCATCTCAGCTCAGGCCAGCCACATTTCAAGTGTGCGAGAGCCCCATATGGGGCAAGTGGTCACTGCATTGGACAATGTGGGTCCTAGAGGATCTGGCTCCACCACACCGACTGCCAGGGCCCTGTGCAGGCCACTGAACTCTCTGTGCCTTTGTGGAAAGGGGACAAAGCCGTTATCTCATGGGTCAATGCCAAAAATAGAGATAAGCATGTGTTATTTTTCTATTATAACAAAAGACGTTATTTACAAACCTCTGAAACAGCAGGAGCAAGCTTAGGAGAAGCTTCTCATGCACCCACTATGGGTACGTTTGCCTCGCTGCAGTTAATTAGTGCCTACTGTTTGCAGCCTCGGAGCATCATCACACCAGAGCCCAGAGCCCAGGCTGGGGTACACGGGATGGCTTTGCCCAGTATAGATGGTAACTTTGATGACGGATTGGAAAATGCAGGGAAGATAAGCGGCACGCAGTAGGCCTTCATTTAAGGGCAGCTAGTGATGCTTCATGAGGAGGCGCGGCCTGGCTTGGAGGGGTGGGCTTGTTGGGTCAGTGGTCTGCATATAGTAGGTGGGATGGGCAATGAGGAGCATGGTCTGAACATAATAGGCGTGGTCAGCAGGGTGGGCGGTCTGCACACAGGTCCGGGAGGGCTGGGGGGGTGCTGGGGCGGGTGGTCAGCTGACAGCAAGCGGAGGTCTGTGGGCCTCCTGGGCCTGCTTACCCCCTCCTGGGCATGTCCCTCCGCAGCACATCAACAACGAGCACATCCACGGGGAGAAGAAGGAGTTCGTGTGCCGCTGGCAGGCCTGCACACGGGAGCAGAAGCCCTTCAAGGCGCAGTACATGCTGGTGGTGCACATGCGGCGGCACACGGGCGAGAAGCCTCACAAGTGCACGGTGAGTGGCCTTCTCCCCACCCACGTCGCAGCGTCAGGACCGGCCCTTCAGCCAGGCCAGGGGGATCGTGTTTGGAGGTGGCTGGCCACAGGCACACCTGGGTGGAGCAGGCCACAGCAGGGGCTCTGGGACCGGAGCCTGTTCCCACCCTGCCTGCTTGGGTCCTGGAGGCCCCCTCGCCTCATGGCATCCCAGACCTTGATGGACTTGCTGTGTGGGTGTGAGCATCTCGGTAAGCACGGCAGAGGTGTGTGGGTGTGTCTGTGATTGTGAGTCCAAAGGCATATCTACATCCTGAAGTTGGCTTGGCTGGGTGACACTGGGCAGAGGGACCGCTCCATAGCACTCTGCAGAGAAAAAAAACATCCTTGGTAATTCAGAGCTTGAGCAATGATGGGTTAAAACTCATTTGGGTTGAGGGTTTTTTTTGTTTGTTTTTTGAGACAGTCGCACTTTGCCACCCAGGCAGCTCATTGCAGCCTCTACCTTCTGGGCTCAAGCGATCCTCCCACCTCAGCCTCCTGAGCAGCTGGGACTACAGGCACATGCCACCACACCAGGATAATTTTTGTATCTTTTTGTAGAAACGGGGTTTCACCATGTTGCCCAGTCTGCTCTTGAACTCCTGGGCTCAAGCAGTCCGCCTGCCTCGGCCTCCCAAAGTGCTGGGATTACAGGCTTGAGCCACAGCTCCTGACTGAGTGTTTGTTTTGTTTTGTTTTGTTTTTTTAATGAGCTCAAAGATAAGACCTTTTCTATGGTCTCCTTTAGAGGTCAACAGGATTTATGACTATTAGTTGGAGAGACTATTTTTTAAAAACACAGAAACTGCTGCCCCACAAAAGCAGACGTGGTTTTAGCTGCAGCTGAAACATCTGGGAACTCCTCTTTGTGAATTCTTGTTTCATAGATTCTAAGACATACATTCTGTTTTCACCTTAACATCTCTGAAGTCAGACTGTCTTAAAATCAGTGGTGTCCGGGATCCAATGAAATATGCTACCTTTGTTGGCAAGTCAGTTTTCTTATTGAGAAATAGCTGACATACCATAAAGTTCACCCTTTTAAGAAAATGTACAATTTAATTGTTTTTAGTACATTCACAGATTTGTGCAACCATCACTACTAGTTAATTTCAGAACATTTTCATCACCCCAGAAAGATACTCTGTACTCATTAGCAGCCACTCCTAATTCTGTCCTTCCCACAGCCCTGGACAATTACTAATCTGCTTTCTGTCTGTATGGATTTGCCTCTTCTGGAAATTTCATAAAAACTGAAATCATACAATATGTGCCTTTGTGTCTTGCTTCTTTCAGTTAACACGTCTTCAAGGTTCATCTGTGTTGTAGCATGCACACGTACTTTCTTTCTTTTTGTGGCTACCTAATATTCCATTATATGGATAGACTATGTTTTGTTTATGCATTCATCAGTTGATGGATATTTGCATTGTATTTACTTTGAGGCTATTATGAATAATGCTGCTATGAACATGTGTGTTCATGTTTTTATATGGACAGAATGTTTTCACTTCTGTTGGGTATGTGTAACTACGAGTAGAATTGCTGAGTCATGTGGCAGTTGAGGAACTGCTGGTTTGTTTTCCAAAATCAATGCTCCATTTTACCTTTCCACCCACAATGAATGAGGGTTCTGATTTCTGCAAATCCTCACCAACACTGGTTGTTACCTTTTTTATTCTAGCCATATCCTAGTGGGTGTAAAGTAGTATTTTATTGTGTTTTTGATTAGCACTTCCCTAATTAGTGATTAATAATGTTAAACACCTTTTCAGGTGCTTATTGGCCATTTGTGTATCTTCTTTGGAGAACTGTCTACTCAAATATTGCCCATTTTGAAATCTGGTTGTCTTTTTGTTGTTAAACTGTAAGAATTTTTTATGTATCTGGTTACTAGACCCTTATCAGATATATGATTTGCAAATAATTCTCCCATTCTCTGGGTTTTCTTTTCATTTCCTTGATACTTTAAAGCACAAAAGTTTTTAATTTTGAGGCTGTACAATTTTTTAATTGCTTGTGCTTTTAGCGTCATAGCTAAGGAACCATTGCCTAATCCAAGGTCACAAAACTTTACCCTTATGTTTTCTTCTAAGAGTTTTATAGTTTTAAACTTTTATTTATAAAAATATTGAATACTGGCACTCTGAAAAATTTAAAAAGTAAAAAAAGAAAGAAATATATGTGTGTATAGAGAGCTTTATAATATAGCTCTTCCATTGTCACCCAGGCTGGAGTGCAGTGGCGCCATCTTGGCTCACTGCAACATCTGCATCCAAGGTTCAAGTGATTCTCCTGCCTCAGCCTCCCGAGTAGCTAGGATTATAGGCGTGCACCACCACGCCTGTCTAATTTTTTGTATTTTTAGTAGAGACAGGGTTTCACCATGATGGCCAGGCTGGTCTTGAACTCCTGACCTCAGGTGATCCACCTGCCTCAGCCTCCCAAAGTGCTAGGATTATAGGTGTGAGCCACTACGCCCAGCCTGGAGTTAATTTTTGTACATGGTATGAGGTAGGGATCCAAACTTACTCTTTTGCATGTGATTATGCAGTTGTCCAAGTCCATTTGTTGAAAACCTGTTCTTTCCATTTGAATGGTCTTGGCACCCTTGTCAAAAATCAATTGACCTTAAGTGTCTGGGTTTCTTTCTGAACTGCCAGTTGTATTGCCTGGATCTCTATGTCTCTCTTTATGCCAGTACCACATTCAGTCTTTATTACTGCCAATTTGTAGGAAGTAAATTGGGACATACGAGTTCTCCAAATTTGTCCTCCTTTTGCAAGATTGTTCTGGCCCTTCGGGGTTCATTGCAACAAGTTATTTTCTTAACATCCTCAGTACTGGCAAACCATAGCCCTTTGATGATATGAGCTGTGAGTTGCGGAAACAGATAAAAGGCATTTGGAGCCAAGCGTGCTCAGTCAGACTGGTCAGGAATAAAGGAGAGGATGGGAGGAATGAGACAGCTCCTGCCGGGGTGTACGTGTCCTCCTGAGGGCGGTTTTCATACATCCATTCAATGCAACCGCAGTATCTTTGGAATAGCTGCAGAGTTTCCTGCAATGATCTCTCCTTCCTTCTCCCCTTCCTCCCTCCTTCCCTCTCTCCCCACCTCCTTTCCTTCCTTCCTCTCTCCCTTGCTCCCTCTTTTCCTCCTTCCTTCCTTTCCAGAATTGTTTCTTGAGTGCTTAGGTGCTAAATATTGGGAAGATAGCAATGAACAAGACCCAGAAGATTCCTGCTCTGTGGAGCTGGTATTCTAGTAAGAAAGCTGGGTAACAAAATGATTCAGATCATTATAAATCGAGCCAAGGGGTATAAAGGAGAGAAGACAGAGTGTTGTGATTGAGAATATCAGAAAAGTGCTCTCAGAGGAGATGACCTAAAAGATTGAGAGGGAGGGACCTGGGCCAGGAACCGGATTGGGAGGAGCCTGCGGAAGATTCCAGCCAGAGGAGTCAGTGGTATGCAGAGGCCCCAAGCCAGGAAGAACTTAGTGGAGTCAAAGAACTAAAAGAGACCAGCGTGTCCAGAGTGAAGGTGAGGGTGGCCGACTCACTTAAGGACTTGGAAGACTGAGTTTTATTCTCAGCACATTTTAGTGCACAGAAAAATTCTAATTGAGAGTGGTACTGGGAAACAGTTCAAAGTAATAGTTTAGAGTTTAATGATATGGGAATATGCTGCTGATTTAAAAACTGGTGACTGAATACTTGATATGTTCCCAATTTTGGTTTTAAAGACATGGGGAGATGAATGGCAGAGTCACCAGACATGAAACTTACCACATGTCAGCAGTGGCAGCCCCTGGGCAACCGGTGGTTTTCGTTTTTCTCTTTGTACTTTTCAGCCCTTTCCATGTTTTCAGGAAAGGAAAGTAATATCCTTAAAATGCCTGCTTCTGAGTGCATTGATGGGGTGGAGCAGAGCAGAGGAGGGGGTGGGGAGGAAGCAGCAGCCCGCCTCTAGGTTGGCCCCCCTGGGGTGCCTTGACTGACTGAACCACCTCCTTCTAGTTCGAGGGCTGCTCGAAGGCCTACTCCCGCCTGGAGAACCTGAAGACACACCTGCGATCGCACACCGGGGAGAAGCCATACGTGTGCGAGCACGAGGGCTGCAACAAAGCCTTCTCCAACGCCTCGGACCGCGCTAAGCACCAGAATCGCACCCACTCCAATGAGGTACCCCCGCAGGGCATGCACTGGGCATGCACACGGGAGCCCCACTGACACCCCATGGCTTCCAGGCGTCTGTAGGCCAGTAGATAGCCAGGTGCCTGGTGTCTCGCCCCCACCACTGACCAGCTTTACATCCTCAGACACAGACCAGGACTCTGAGACCTGGACAGACCGGTCTCTTTCTCTGTGCCACATCCTTTCCTCTAAAAGATGCCCCATGAGGTCCCATGGAATACTGACCCTCTCTGTGCCTCAATTTCCTTATCTCTGTGATGAATATAATAGTACCCTCCCCAAAGGCTGTCATGAGGTCCTCGGGAGCCGAAGCTGAGGCAGGGAAGTGGCCCCTCTGATCTCAGAGTGTTTCACATGCATCTGCCCCTGTTACCTGGGGCTGCTGGGTGGGTTCTGCCTCCCATCCCCTAGATGAGGAAACTAAGACTCAGAGATGAAGTGACTTACCCCAGTGCCAGATGAGTGATGAATCCTCTGCAGCTGTGAAAACACCCTGGGTCACTGCTTCATACCCCCAAATTCCCTTTCCACCACAAGCAGGTGTCCCACTGGGGAGCCGCTGCCCCGCTGCCTGGGGGAAGCAGAGCAGTGCTGTCTGAGTGCAGCATTTGTTGGCAGCCCCCTGGCCTGTTGGCTTGGGCAGCCAGCAGTGACACGCTCCAGCTGTTAGCGCTGCCTGGGCCTGCCGTGGCGGTCAACCCCAGCAGATGGGGCATAGAGTAGCCTCTGCCACCCTGGGTAGGCAGAGCCCCTATCTGGGCTGAGAGAACCAGGGAGAAAGCGGGGCAAGAGCCGGTGGTGTCCTGGCCCAGCCACACAATTACTGTCGCTCAGGCTTACTCGGAAATGTATGTTTTTAAAAGCTTAGACACATCCTGGACCCCAAAGGGAATTTGCTCCAATGCTTATAAGAAGTGAGAGGAATTTTCTTCTTTTTCCTTTTTTTTTTTTTTTTTTTTTTTTTTTA